GAGGTCAATGGTGCTACGATATCAGGGATATCGTCGCCAATGAAGCGTGCGGCAGCAATACCTATACTGTGCGAAGGAAACGGTCAGTTGACGAATGCACCTTAATCTTTCCTGATCCGTGTTTTCATATATGTACCTACACCGTATTTTTAGATACCTACAGGCTGGGCATATATAACGACTTACCTCCGATAGAGCGCCAAAAAATGCCGCTGCCAGATCTCAGACTGTTTGCATAGTGGTCTGATACCATGGTAAACAAAATGCATTAATTACGCCTGACGGTATGTGAACGCCACTGATAGCTGCGATACTCTCCTATAAAAATGTCACCGGTGTTTGCCGCATGGCGTTCAATGGCTTGTTGAGACTACCAAGCATGAGCAACCATATAGCAGATAAAAGTTATCTGGCCTTTCACATACCTTCGGAAAGGGATATGGTCGAAGTCTAAGTTGACCTTTTATTTAGTTCCAGCGAAAACTGTATAACAGCATCACAATTTGAGCCTGTGTTCTGCATTACCTGACAAGATCAGATAATCCGGAATCCACGCGACTGGCTGATCTGGGCGGGTATTCCCCTGCCCTGGTCTGAGAGCCCGTTTGGAATGACGATGTTCGTGCGACCCCCACCAAGCCGCGTGATTCTGGCCAATGAGAAACAATGGAGGGGTACGCGCCACGCGTGCAGTAACAGAATTATCGTCCTGCTCATGGTGGAATTTCAGGCCCGTACAGAAGAGAGAATCTGTGAACTTCCCTCGCAGCCGACATCCTTTATCTGGACATGTTTTTGCGCAGTTTGTTTTCGCCACAATCTGACCTAAAGTTATCTTCTAATTTCATCTTCTACATGGCATCCCAGATCCCGTTTATTGCCAGATTGCTTAGAACTTTAATTGAGTACCTACGCAGAATCGTTGTACTGATGTTTAACCTTAGCTCTCTTCATAGCTATGACCTGAATGTAGCCTCAGCATATTGGCTATTTGTCGGTAGCGCATACCTACACAGACTAAATTTCATTACGATCAAGTCGGTAGGTTATTAATATTGAAGGCTCACAAGCATGATTGAAGAACCCACGCTCAATTGCTCATCGTCATAGCCCATAGGTTATTGGATAGAAGCGTAACGAATCGATAGCCCGTCTAATGAGATTTTTAATGGCATGCGTTAACAGTCGTGCATAATTAGATCAACGATCAATGCTTTGACGTCCGGACTGTCAGAGAAATATGGTCTTGTCTCAGTACATGATGTGTCGAAGCATGATGAAAATATTACATGCTAAGCTATAGGTATTATAGAACGCGTATTTCTCTTATCTATTAGGCGTGCGCTTTTCAATGTCGGTCAACAGGATTCTCCGGGGTATGAAAATATAACAGGAAACTCCGGGGTGACATTTTCCGTCCGAACAGGGTGTCAATTCTCAAACGTAAAAGGGAAGCACTCTCATGAGTCAAAAATTATAAGTAAACTGAAAGAGCAGCCCTAACTGTTTGTTGAGACAACTTGGAGACATTGTTAAACGTGACAATTCCAGTATGACGTCCAACACCCTATGTTAAAACAGACCAAACATCCTCCTCGGTCGCGTGAAAAATGTCAACATTTACATGACACTTACGGACCAAGTTCTCCAAACACGAGAACACGGAATAGGACGATGGGACAGCTATAGAACTGCAGGTGTTAGGCGCGTGCCGTTATTGATTTGAAAATACATAGAAATGCCCTCCCGACCCTGCAGCCCCGGTAGCCGTCCGTGGAGTACTCACCGAGTTTGACACACTCGACGGCCAGTCCTCCTGCCACCGAGTAGAGCGCTATGATGCGACCCCACGTGACCTCCGATCGGAACAGATCCACGGCCACCGAGTTCACCACGGCGCGCACCGTCTTGTCCGACGTGATGGCCATGTTCACCTGTCTCGAGATGGCCGTGTACACAGACGGGTGCATACGCTCCAGCTCCACCCCGATCAGCACCATCTCTCTGAACACGTCACAGATCTCGGCGCCGCCGTGCAGACTGGCCAGCGAGCTCAGCCGCTGCAGGCCCAGCTTCCTGTGGAACACGCCGCTCCGCTTCAGACGCGCCCGCACGTACTGAGAGCCCAGGCTCTTGGACTGGTGCACGATCTCCTGGATGTTGTGGGTGCGCCAGCCGATTGTCGTGCTTAGTTTGCGAGCCACCACGTCACTGACATTGCTGAACTTGCGGGAGCGAGGGACTGCCACTCGGTCGCTGGAGGGAACGACGTGGCTCGACTTGCGCCGCGGGCGAACCTCCTGCGCGGATGAGTGGAAGGCGGCGGGGAAGCTGCTCTTGCGGCTGTGGCGTAGTAGCTGCCTCTGTGGAAAGCTGACCTCCAGTGAGGTGAATTTGTCCAGTTTCTCAAAGCTGTCTGTCTTGTCCAGCGGCGGCGCCGCCGTGCGGGACATGGCTGCGAACGCAACCACTGCACGCAGTTCAGCACCACTACCCTCTTCTCACTCACGCTCACAAAGCTCTCCCTCCCCCGCTCACACAGACGCACGCGCCGTGCTCCGTCTGCCCCGCTCGGCGGTCACCGATCGCTCTCGCTCCGCGCTGCCGCTACCGACCGCGGACCGGCGCCGACTAGCGCTGGACGCTCGTGGGTCGCTCGCGCCGCCGCCGCCGCCGCCGCCGCCGCCGTCGCCGCCCACTGCTGTCGCCGGCGGCGTCCAGTGCTCACTGCTGCACTGACCACTGTCCAGTGCCAGGGGCGGGCGGATGCTGCAGTGCACGCAGCTTTCTGGAATCCTGACCGACTGGTAGCCAACGCCCAGCGGTGCCTTGTCTTGCATTCTTATTCGTCCAATGTTGAAAATTGTTGCAAGTTGTTTCCTTTCCATCATTGGCTGGTAGATGAAAATATTAATGCATACCGCAATCAGCAATCATCAGCACCAGATAACTTTGTCACTTAAAGCACAATTGCCCAGTCTGTCTAATTCATGTGCAGAAGGAGGGGCTGGTGTCAAGTGAACGTGAACGTCGAAATGAACAAAACTCATTGCAGAATTATTTACTGAGGAGTGATCGTCCTGCTGAGGAGACGTCCGGCCAATTAATGCTGGGATGCTGACTACCTTCAGAAGTAGATACCTACACAAAATTATATTAAGTACGTCCCTCACTCCCACTCCCTGACAGTGCAGCTAAGACACTGGCATAGGCGGCGGAACGGGGGAGGGGGCACCGGGGCACCGTACCCACCCCCCTTTGATTTTGACATTTTAACATAAGCCCTATGGGCGTTGCATGGAAAGAATGGGACCAAAAGTCGGCAGTGCCCCCCCCCCCCCCTTAAATGAAGGTGTTCCGCCGCCACTGGACACTGGGCACTGGTGTCTCCTCCTTGCCGCTAAGACACACTCCTAGTGTTCATAAACTTTCGCAGTCTCTTCACGATCGGTTAGCTTTCATGTGGTCCGGTCTTTTGCGCTACTGACGATTCCAGAACTTGACACCAGCGACGAAGATGTTATAGAAAACTGCAGACTGAAAAGTGGCAGCAAAAAAATGACAAACCATACCACAAAATAATGCGATATCGAACACATCCGTGCAGTGTGCTCAGAAGGCAGGCCCGTTGAGTACAAAAGGAGTGTTTAACGTTGCGGTCTATTACTATATTATGTATTGCATAATGACTTTCGTGCAATGTAAACGATAAATGTCATGCATCGCTTATAGTAATGAAGATAAACTGAAAGATGGCATGTAGTCCGCTTACAGCACTCAGCAACTGTACACCTATGTATCAGTGCACACCTATTTGATGTTATCTAATGTTTAGTTAAACACTTATATTGACTAACATCTGCGATTATAGCACGCAATTTGGCAAAATACATCTTACCAAGTGCAATTTGACGGCCTCAGAAAAGGTGCAGAGGAGCTATCCATCATTGCCGGGGGTCATTTATCATCTCATGGCGCCCATCCTCTGCGCTGTTGCCGCCCCATCCCTGCGGACTAACAAACAGCAAGAGCGATACATTTGTCAGCCGAATATTATGCCTTGCAGTATCGCTCACATTCGCTGCACGGCGTTCGAAAAATACCGATAATCTCACGTGGATGGAAGAGGCATTAATAATACCTAAGTCTGTGTACACTTACGAGTATAGCATTTCGGTTTTACGTGCTTTTAGTTGGATTGTTTCGTGTCTAATGTTGCGACATTTACAGTCGCATTTATTTTGACTTTAGAGAGCTGAAGCTCTCGTGTCGTACAATGTTGGTGACGCGCACGAAAAATCATCTTCGGCGTTTTTCTACTGACATCTGGTTAATAATGCAAAACATTGAGAACGAGAACTGATGTGCAGACTACATGTATAGTAAATGATAAAGTAATATGTTCAATAATATTGAATGAAACTGATAAAGTACAATATGTATTATAGTAGGTCAAAGGCGCTTTCGAAGCGTTTTTTTTCATTATTTTCTTATTGAGCTTAGATGTTACAGATCATAATCGGGTAATGGATTTACTGTGTGTGATAAGATGTAATCCTAGTACGGTCTTAGTATTAAACTTATGGCGAGTTGCTTTCAGCTTTGGGCTCCAATTGAGAGCACTAACCCTTAGTGCATATAGGTAAGCAATAAGCATCTTACTTCTTAGTAGGTATAAACTTCTTGACGTAAGAGACGAGTTGTAACGCTCCCTGTTCTGTTTACACTGTGTGTTTATGTAGATTGCGCTCGTCGCGTTCCATGCCTCACCGTCGGACAGACACAACTCAAGGGATGAAAAATCAGTCCGGTTTGAGCGACCTTTGATTGGTGCATGTGATAAATAGATGAATTTGAAGGCAAATAGACCGATCTCTGATGTAAAAGAGGTAAATATTGCAAAACATTAAGTAAGTTTTAGCCAAGGTCTTTTGATATTCCCAGCTGACTGAATCGAGAAAAAAAATACTAGCATCTCTAACATCTCAGAAGCGTGCTACATACACACACCTATTGAGCGCGTGAGCGAGGCGAGGAACGCGAGTCTCTTCTACTGGTGCTAGCAACAGTCAACCACTTCGGCATCAGTTGTTCAACCGAACCTCTTCTCTACCTACTGCTGCTGTGGCGAGTCAGGTGAGAGAGGGGGAGATAGGGGCAGAGGGAGGGAGAAATGACGAAGATTCAGTGCTATGCCACATGACCAGTGAACGTTTTGTAATTGGTCAATTACGGTTGGTCGACCGCTGTAAAGCGGTGGCAACAATTGCTCTTCGTTGCCAGTGGAATGGTATGGCCATAGTTAACTGCAGCTGGTCGGCCTTTCCACCCTCTTATCTTTGTTTGGTCCTGGACCCGAATGACATCACCGAAACTGTTTACTGTAGGTACGCATCGTAATCTGCTGAACTGACTTGTAAACGTTTCGTTGTATGACAATGATGTGAGATTGTATTCAATGATGTGATAAATATATTTCATCACTTAATTTATAGTTAAGCATGGTGTGGACTGTTGAGTTTGGATGTAGCACTTATTTCATGAGTCTGCTCCAATTCGTTTCCTGCAAACGGTGTCGCCAATCTCCAATCCCCAGGCACTACCGGCCCCGGCTCGGCGACCATGGCTCTGTCCACCTGTCGCGTCCTCTGTTTTCGGCTGGGGCCCGGTCAGGAGCTAGTTGCCGAGCTCACCGCTAGGTGTCAGCAGGCGGGCCTGAGGGCGGCCTTCGTCGTCACCTGTGTGGGCAGTGTGAGCGGCTGTCGACTGCGACTAGCATCGACCCCGGACGGGCGAACAGACACGGTTAGTGGAAACCGCTGGGGTTTTATGTGGGTTTGATCAAACCAGATCACATTGACGTCCCGCGGGGCCGATGCATCCCTTCGTAAGTTGGTGATCCTAATATCGCTCTTGCTTCTGAGCAAAAGACAAAAGTAGGTATCAATTGTTGGTAGGTATAGGTAGGTTAGTTAAGTTACACAGCATAGCTTAATTTCTAAAGGCAACATGTGGCTCGGTCCTATGTTATTATTATTATTATTATTATATCGTTTATTCCACTAACCACGATCATCGGGTGGGCGTTACAGTGGAACATTGCCAATTCACATGCGGTAAACAGTGATGGTTGGTACGTTTAACTGTACACTGCAGGGCACATACGAGTACATTCGCATACATTGGGTGAAACGTGATCATCAGTTGTCAGTGTTTGCTTTTGCTAGGAGGTACTTTTTCAGTTCAAATTTTGAGGCATTCCTCATTCTAGTGGGCAAACTATTCCACAATTTAGAGCCATGATATGACAGTGAATATTTCATAAAATCTGTTCGCGGAGCAACCAGATCTAGGTTATCCGACTGTCTTGTCTCACGGTCAGATCTTCTAGTTATAAAGAGCGAGGATATCAATGGCGTTGTAATCTCCGGAAAAAGCAGACACTGACGAATTATATTCAATACAGCAATGTCATGTTCGAAGGCTAAGTCTCTTCGCCATGCCACATTCGCACTCTCGCGACCCGTGATACGCCGAGCAAATTTTACAATTTTAGATATCCTTTTCCCCTGTGTCAAGCCACAATTCCCCCATACAGAAACACAGAAACGGATATGTGGAAGAACTAACGAATTAACAAGCAGTGCAATAGTTTTCAAGGGCATAATGTGACGTAAGTGACTCAGGCGTATCAGCATGCCTATGCATTTGCCAACCACAGTGTCGATATGGCTACTCCACGTAAGACAGCTGTCTAAAGTAACGCCCAAACTAATAAGAGACGGCTTAACTTGTACCACAGTATCAAATACATGTACACTCTTCAAATTAATCTTTTTCAAAACACATCTAGTGCCAAAAACAGTGACTTGTGATTTGGCAGCATTTACAGAAAGGCGGTTCCGGGAGAACCACACCCCAAGCCTTTGAAGAAGGGTCTGAAGGCGACCTATCACAGTATCTAGTTCGTTTGGTGGTCCCGAAACCATCACCTGAGTGTCATCGGCGTATTGAATTATTGATCCTGATTCAGACGCAACGGTGGGTAAATCATTCATGTACAAGTTAAACAACATCGGGCCCAACACACTTCCCTGTGGAACACCTGACAGCACATCACCCTTCGCATCATTACAACCCCTCACATACTGGCGCCTGCCAGAAAGATAGTTTTTGAACCATGGGTGTTCAATACCATAGTGCGAGAGTTTCGCTAGCAATATACGATGATCTACACAATCAAACGCCTTGCTCAGATCTAGCGATACCAGAATGCAAATGTTCCCCTTATCAATAGAAGCCCTGATGGATTCCGTCAATGCAATCAGGGCATGTTCGACGGAATAGCGTGGTCGGAAACCAAACTGATTTTCTGACAACACATCGCAGTCATCTAGGTACATACTTAGCTGAAGAGAGACAAGTCTCTCGAGAATTTTGGAAGCGACGCTTAAAAGGGATATAGGTCTAAAGCTAGACGCCTCCTTTGGGTCACCTTTTCCCTTGTAAATGGGAACTACTTCCGCTATTTTCCAACAGGATGGCAAAGTACCGCTGGTAATGGATGAGTTAAACACTCGTAGAAGCGATCCAAGAAGCCTGGAAGAGAAAGACTTGAATAAAAAAGCAGGGAGTCTATCTGGCCCACATGACGTATGTGATTTTAAGGATCTAATAACTAAGCGTAATTCGTCCAATGTTGCTGGGCGAAGGTCGAATCTAGTTGATAATACTCTTGGGGGACCAAAAAACACCTCACCTGCACATGCACTGATATTTACTTTGCTAGCGAGGTTTCCACCTACTGAGCAAAAAAAATCATTGAATGAACGTGCCGTGTTTTCATCCAATGGCTGGGCGACCTTAGATTTGCCAAGCGTTGCATTTATTAGATTCCAGGTGTCTCTGCTGGACCTATGCGATCTGATACTAGATTCAAATTTTGTTCGTCGTTCAAAGCAAATAACTTTTTTAACCTGACGGCGCATATCCTTATAGAGGGTGATATCGGACTGAGCGTTGGTGCGTCTCGAAACACGTAACTGGGCCGTCGTTAGGCGGATAAGTTGCCTGGCGGCAGCTGAAATTCCAAATCCGGTTTTGTGCTTAAGTGAGACAGTTACAAACGGAGCATGACGATCAATGATTGGAATGACTGCTTCTGCCCAGCATTTCCAACCCTCGCCGGGATCAGAAACATCAACCCCGGGGGCCGAGGGTATCGCGTCATGCAGGTCTCTGCAGAAGGATTGGAAATCAATATTTTTCCATCTGCGGAACGTTATTGGGAACGGTTTCAACTTTTTCCTCTTAACTTTCATTTTGACTATTACTAAGTTATGATCAGATACGATACAATCTTCGGAAGTGCACCCTGTCACAAAAGAAAAATCACTTACAAGAACAATGTCAATGAGAGTCGATGAGGAACTAGCAATACGGGTCGGCAGTTGCACACACTGATGCAGTCCAGTATTGCCAATGAGAGTTAGTAGTTGTCGAACATGTGGGAGGTTCGGTCGCAAGAGATCACAATTTAAGTCTCCGCATAAAACGACTTGCTTGCCCTCCGACAGCAAGGTCTGGACTGAGAGCTCTAGTGCTTCGAGATCCTGTTTTATACAGTCATATATAGGTGGTCTATACACACAACCAACAACCACTGTCCGGTTGTGTCCACATTGTACGCTTACCCAAATTAATTCAAGACGCCCAGATTGTGACATTTTAGGGCCGGTGATCTTACTGAAAGTCAGATCACTGCGACAGTAAATGGCCACACCGCCACCTTTGCGTCCCCGATCAGCTCTGCCAGCTATCGCTAAATTAGCTATGGGGACATTTGGCTCACCTTTTCTTAGCCATGTCTCAGTAAAGCACATGACATCGATTTGGTGACGTTTAACATAGTCAGACACAAGGTCGGCTGAGGGTGTCAGTGACCTGACATTCAGATTGCCGATCGATAGCCCATATTTGGAAGTATGTACATGGTGCGAGACGTTAAAATTAGCTGAGCAGGTGTCGCTACAATCGGTCACATTATTGGAAGGCCTCAGTCTAAAAAACCGTTTACCTCGCTCGACAGCATCTGCCAGACGTTTCTACATCCTGCTCTGTTCAAATTCAATCTCGACCTGTCTAAACCATTGTGGGCACACTCATTGAGTCTTGGTCGCAGGTCAATAAAACGAACACCTTCGCTGACGCACATTCTTTCGAGTTCATCATTCAAATGACTGCGTTTCATTGTGAGAAAGTTCTCTGTCGCATTTATGTCCTGAGGCACCGAGCATATCACAATGTCTCTTACCTTTTTGACTTGTTTGGCGGCCTTGATTACCTCGACTATGCAGTCAAGCGTATACTCCACGCTGTGCCGCGACAGATCATTTCCTCCCAGATGAAGGACGAGGTCAGCGGTTATCGCCCTGCAGCCGGCCACAGCGCCGTGAAGAGCAGACAGGGCGCTGCGAGCAGTTCCTCCCCGGATGCTGTCGAACACTACCTGAGCTCCAAGAAGAAACTCGTCTCTGGCCGCCGCGGCAATACGGCGCACGTTTTGACAGCCGAGCATGACTGCACCAACGCGCGGGACCGTACTGGTTCTGGTGTCCATGCCTCTTTTCCGCAGACTGGAAACTGGTCGGGTCTTTCGATCATCAGCAGATGGTGATTGCGAAGCTGTTTTGACCACCGGCTTCTTCGTTTCTTTCGTTGCGCTGGATGCCGGTCTCGCATACGATCGGTCGGGGGGAGTCGTCGGGGTTCGGTGAGGAGTCGAATAGGGACACATATTCGAAGTCATCGACGCAGGTGCTACATGCTTGCCATCTCCTGACGTACCTGCTAGCATCATCATCATGCTGTTCACTTGTTTTGTAAGCTGATCAATTTGGAGCTGGCTGAGTCGAATTGCTTCCATTACGTCCATTAACGTTACGCCAGAGAAGGATGGGCCAGCAGGATGTTCATTCGAGAAATCAGGGCCCGGGTTCTGCTCCACACCTCCTATGACGAGAAGGGTGAGGATCAAGGCTATCCCCAGTGCAATGGAATTATGTTGAAATGATCTTGCTGATTTGGGTTTTAACCTCGCACGAATGTAGAACATTCCGATTCTCAGTCGGTAAGCTTGGTTGTCTATCATTGGCTTGAATTGAATACTTCACAATGGACGATATCGAAGTAGAGGATCACAGTGTCGGGCGTCACGATTGCCGCGCGAAAAATCGACTAAAATTCCGAGTGGCGCTGGGGTTATCAAAAAGCGAAAATTGTGGAAAAATAGGTTTTTATAATTCACCTATATCTTCTAGTTCCTTCTAGTTCACAAGTTTTCCACTTGGCCACTGGTAGAAAGATTACTTATCTTTCAAATGAATGCACTCTCAAGCATAAGCGACGCTAAATATCATAATGTTTAGCATAAATCACGGAGCCTTCAGGGCACTGGTCGTCCCAACCGACATCATCATGTTCATCATGTTCATGTTCTATTTAATGTTCGGCATCTATGTTCGAGACTCGACCTCTAACTGCCAATCACTGTCTGTATTGTCATTTTTCGCCCTCTTCATTTCAGTATATGGACAGCAGCGAGTTTCTGGAGATCTGCGGACTGGTGGGGACCGTATCGCCGGACGGCGCGCACCTGCACGTGACCCTAGGTCGCGCTGACGGCTCGACACTGTCCGGTCACGTGATCTCACTGACCGTCCAGACGACGGCCGAGCTGGTGGTGGGCGAGGCAGAGGACTTGGAGTTCTCCCGGGAGGAGGATGCCGGTACCGGATACCGCGAGCTGGTGGTCAGAGAGAGAGGAGGGACTGACGCGGGGCTCAGAGATTAGCCCGGATAAATGATGGGAGTTATTGTTGTTTATTGGGGCTTTAGGGCGCGTCGACTGCAAAGGTCATTTTGTGATGGGAGTTAAATACATAACATAAAGGAAGTGGGCGCTTTTGGGGGACAGAGGTGCCGTATTTTGAAGCGTTTGTACTGTAGCAGACCCCCACGGCCCACACACAAGGTTTGTTGCGAATATTTAAAAACGACGGTGCCGAGTAACGTCACCGTTTTCACGACGTTCTTGGCATACCTATATGTAAAAGGTGAAGAGCCGTTTGTACGACAGGTTACCTGGCCAATGCATCAAACTTGACCAACTGTACACTAAACCTCTTTTGCAACAAATATCCTCATATCATGAATTTATTTCGGTGTTATAATCGAAAATAATGTCTGATAGTTTGAAAAAAGCAGGCGTAAAAGCAACTGTGCAACCCAAGCTGATAACTTCTAAAAATACAGCGAACCTTATTTGACCAAATCTGCACCAAATTTGAATCAAATGTGTATCAAATGGCCGTCGTGAATTGAATACAGCTAGGAACTGTTTCAACATGAGGAAGCCGTGCCAGCTATTGCTATTTAAAGGGACCCTCCCACCTTCAAAAAAGTTAATGAATTGGCACGAAAGTGATGTCGCTCGGTTCAGAAAGAGCGAAAACGAATATCTACCACATTTCATCGAAAAATATTCGCCGGTTTTCAAGATATTAGACTTTTACTTTTGTTTACTTTTTGGGATCTCCGCTGTTCCTAGCGACTTTATTTGAAAGTGCGGCATTTGTTGCGCGCAAAGCAGCATATACCACCGCGTGCTACCAAACGTTTTAGTAAAAGATTTAAAAATCGTTAGATCTCCGCTGACGTCACAAATTCTAAGGGGGCATACCAATGCACTAGCCCCTTAGAATCCGAAAACTGCAAGTTTGAAATTCCATATCTCCGAATTAAAGCATTTGTCGATGTTGTGAGTGCCCAAACCGGTATTTGCAGGCCATGGCCACCAATTTGGCTATCTCAACTCAAAACTAATGTTAAGGTGGGAGTGTCCCTTTAAATTAAACTTTGATGCGTTTTGATGCGAATTAAATCGCTGAGTCACTAACAGCATTATGATAATACAATGGAGACACATCATGAAAGTTTTATGATTTTCTTTTTAGAATGCTCATTCGCATGGCTATCAAGAAACACTATTTTGATAAGTCCTGCAGTAAATGCACATAAGTACCTATATCTTGACAATGCCTCCTATTGAGGTTGCTATCGATAACACCTGCACAACGCATGACGTTCCGTGACTCACCAGCTAAGTAATAGGATATCATCAATTTATCATATCAATGACGTCTGCCGACGTCATTTGGAGCCGCCCTTTACTCAGTGTGCATTGAGAACGCAGACAGTGCGGAGCCGTTTCAGCCGAGACCGGATAATCTGATCGAGAAACATAGCGCAATGCTCATAGAGCGCACCTCGCCCTAAGTGCATAACATAACATAAAGAAAAAGAGTGGATGATGTTCACTGTCCTGCGTGCACTGATGTATCTACAAAGTTGCATCGATTCAGGTAAGATAGCGCAGCATACTATTATAGATCAAAACGACCTAAAGCATGCTAAGCTAAGATAATATTCGAAGCCTCGCGTGCCGTGGCGATGGGTCGGTGGTAACACATGACGGTGCAGAGACTTGTAAATGCCCCTCCACTCTTAATTCGGGTTCTAAGTCACTCGCCGCAGACATGAATAGGTGGGAAAAACGTTAAGGGCTGGGAAAAACGTTAAAAAGTAAACGCATCAGTTAGGTATGTTCAGATGCAGAGTCAGGTCAACAAGTCATCAAAATTGTCTGCGAAATTTAGATGCTACGTGTTTCTCTCATTGCGATGCTGCAAAAGAAATATAGGTACTTAAACTCGCGCATGACTGGGATATTTTCCATGACGCGAGTGACTAGGATAGGAGGGGGGCTCTCCAGAGACCCCCTTCTATCTCCGAAACTAATGGGCCGATCGTCAAACTTCACACGGCGTCTGATAGCCCTAAAAAACTGTCGAACGAAGCCTATTCTCTTTGACCTGGAGGTCACCGATGACGTCACAGGTCAGGTCAAAGTAAAAACTATCAGCATTTTTGCTTATTCACAATTTAGGATCTGACCGCCGGCTGACAAGTCCGATCAGGCCTATTTTTGGTTTACGCACTCCTTGATATATGCCGTAGATACCCTGAGGGTACTGAACTTTTACATTGAATTTTTCAGGTCAAGGCCAGGTCATCCTAAGTCACGTAAGTTGTATATCATATATCGGTCACGTGACGCATGTTTTATGGTCCATTTTACTCATGTTTAGAAAACAATGTCGTTTGTGTCGTTTGAGGTCATTTTTGGCTGAATGTACCGGAGGTCAGGTCACTTTCAGGTCAGAAAAGGTCAAATTTTGAACATAAATTTTTTCAACAAAAAGATGCCTTTCAGATGCAGTTTGAGCTCAGGAACACGACGGTGCCATTCATAATGCTGTACAATGTCAATAAACGTACTGAAAAATGATTTTGAAAAATATATCATTGTAAAATTTTGACAGCCCGGCTGACTGCAGCGACCACAGCGACCTCAGCGACCGCAGGGTTCATGAACAGGGCCCAGATGACTACCCACGTGTCATATCTATGATACATCATATCCAGACTCATTTGAGAAACCTATATTTCTTTTTCTAGAACCGACTGCTCGTCATTGTAACTTGGACAGATTTGACCTTGTTTGACCTCCCTGCTCCCTGTGACGTCACAGATTAAAAATCGAGGCCATCGAAAGCTCATCTTGTGCATTTCGATCAGTTCTTTCGATTGCCGTTTGAATTTTCCGATCCTTCTTTCATGGTTCCGGAGATGCTTGTCCCCCCCCCCCCCTTCAATAGGACGTGAAACCTGCCAGACCTCAACGGGGCGCGGGTTAAACGGGATATTCTCGAAATACCTTTGGATAGACTGGCATTAGCACGCCCCCCCCCCCTTCATCCCTCAGTCGAGTGGAGGTGTATCTAAAACGGTTTGCTTTTAGTTATAGCCCGTAGTGGCTTTTAAACCACGTAGCTAACTATTATAACCGTTCAGGTTATCATAATATCATAGGTACAGGTCTCGCGGGTTTCAGCGGCAGATTTTGCACCTGAAATTTAGTGTACTTCAGTCTTCAGGCTATATCTTCTTCGTCTTAAGCTTTTAAGTGTTGAAGATGCGATCGACTTGTTCGTTCTCAAGCCTGCCATGATCGTATAAAATGGCTTTATTATAGATCGATCAGTTTCTGAGATATAAGCGGAAACGTAAAAGGGCAAAACCTACCGCTTAATCTCGCGAGAGCCGTACATTCAATGAACAAATAAATGACTTCACCTCCTTTGAAGCACACACACCAAGACCCAAGGGATCTCGGGCTTGCAAAGCTTGCCGTCACTATCTCGAGTGTTCATATATCTTAATTCCTGCATCTATCATTCAGATAATTCTCTATCGCATGTTTGCTGATTGGTCAACATAAGCGATTCTAGTACCTACCTAAAATAGTTGAACTTTTTTGATCAATTTGATTTATGCACTGACTGGATATCGGCCACGTGTACAGCCGACTACAGAATGATGTTTCACTTTTCTCAGGAAATAATTTGCCTTGAGTGATAGGCTGTGCCGCATCACACGAACTGAATTCACAGACCAATGCTGTGACCAACGTTCACAATATAGGCATTCTAAATTGCGTGATAAACGGCACAACTTATCGTTCCAGTCAAATGATAGCTTCTGAGGAGTGGAACATCATTCTGTAGTAACTCAATGAACATACGTTTGCATTGAGTTCAGTGAGGTGCCGAGCTGCGCATGCAGTCACGTCAATACGCGACTGGGTAACACGATACGTAGCATATCAGGAGGCATGTCGAACGGATAATCTGAATGGCGAATGTCTGCCCTCGTGGAAGGCATCAGTAAGTATCGAAAATAATTGGAGACTTAACTACACTTGGACTTGATTCAGAGGAGATATTGATTTAGTGGACAGAAGCAGATGCCAAGGTTCGATAAAAGGCGCTGGCGAGGATCTTGTGGTATGAGGCATCCGAGTGTTGGACCGGACACGGTCACAAGGAACCAAAGTTTCGCAGAGGTGACTGATTTTATTTTTAGCGAATGGAGGCTGGGCCGCCTAATGCAGTGTTAACAACCGAACCTGGAATTTATTTACGAAAATGGATGAATTTTCGCGGTGAATGTTGCGAGTCATACCTATTGATCGAACCAGTGTCATCTCGAGAACTGTTTATTTTCGTCGTCAGTTTGCTTTGAGGTAAGTTAGTTTACGCCAATTGTGTATTCCTTTGAGTTTGTGGTCATATATCTTACTGTCTGTAGCTTATTTTTGCTGCCCACTAATGCCGCGCTTGTTTTATGTATGTGGGTGCACTGCATATCCTTATTACAGGCGATCCGTGATATATACGAGTATTTGTTATAGACATAAAGTAGCATATTCGTTTTTACATCTAGATGAAATCGATGGACGGGCCTTGGCCATCTTAGGCATTCAGCAATTATGTAGGTTTTCCAATATTGCCCATAGGAACTAGGAAGGTATGTACCTATGCCTGGTTTACGAATAATTTAAATGACCCTTTGAGTCTTTTAATATTCTTCTGCTTGAGATTTATCTGCTATTTGGGGTGTGAAACAGCAAGGATGATGTGTACCTATGTATTATTGGTTTTGATTTATTCATTGCTGACTTATTGATAATTAAATATACCTACATAGTTTATTGAATCAAAGAACACAGTTCTTGTAGATACCATTATTTGTAGGTGTATAGTTTTATTAATGACATAAATGACTTTGGATGTAGATATTCGGGACGAGTGAACAGAAACGCTCACCCCTTTTTACTGCTAGTGTAGGAGTCGAGACTTTATCAACTGTGTGCCCTATTACACATCGATTGTGCATATACTTGAGGACTCAACCATTGCCTAAACAATATGTAAAATGTGAACATGTCTGGTGGTTAGACTTTTAACCTGAATCAATTAACTTCTTCAACAATAAGTTATACTGATTAGACCTATACCTTATCACTTATTTCGGTTGGTGTCATTTTAATTTGTTTTCAGGTTGAATGAGACACTTGGAAGCCAACTAAGGAAGGATTAAGGAAAGACAATTGGCCTCGTCAAGGTGTCTCATTATCATCCAAGATATGAAATGAATAGTTATCTTGAGCCTGATGACTAGTGGCTTCCAGCACCACAGAAGAACATGCGAAAACATCTTCGAGAAGCATGCATACTATAGCGGACAGTGCAGTCAACGTCTACGCTACGAGCAGTGCGAACGACATCTTGCAACGTTAGCTTCAAGGACTTCTAGTGATATGCAGTAACTAGTTTATGAATGACGCTGCATAAAAAAGTAAAATGCATATTTAATGTTGCTTTATGATGTTGATTAGCTTTTTTTCTAACGAATGCTGTTTCTTTTTCAGGTGCTCTCTACACACAGTGGTGGCTATACGGGATTCTTGTCAACACCAAGCCAAATAAGCAAGAGACGAATAAGGCATAGGTAGTCGACACTCGACAGCCTCACCTACCAAATACCAAATAAGTTCTCCGATTAATAGCGTCTCAAGAACGATGACAAGCGAGGCTGTCATATATGTCTGCTGCGTGTGTTGCGTGAATCATGATAGGCCTGGCATCATGATAATGTCGATGATTCATATAATATTGATGAGATTGAGGACACTATGGCCTTACCGTTGTCCATCACTGACCACTCGCTAGGTCACCACTGTACGTACCGGCCCGTCGCAGGCCACCATCAACAGACGATAGGTATTGCCTCAGCATCTGTTACCTATGGGCAGTAGCCTTTAGCCAGTAAGATGTCTATTTCATTCCATATAGGGAAGGTGGGGTAAGACGGCCCAGCGGGGCAAGACGGACCACCAGCCCTCCCGGCTGAACCGCTGCTGTTATCTGCTGCTTTATGCACTCACTACCCTTGTTTTCCTTCGCACTAATGACCACCTGGGGCTCATGGGGCCAGGACGCATGGATTTTCAGTTATTGATAATAATGTTGTGTTTCGTCAAACCGATCTTATGTTAGAGACCTGAAGATGATTTGATTTAGGCGCCTTTCTTGCATGATTTATTTTCCTTTGTACTTTACTGCGAAGAACAATGTTATGGCCACACTTTAGGTCAAGCATGTGGTTTTGCAATGTTGGGCTGTTTAACCTATACGTCAAGATAATGACAGAATTTGGATTTGGGGCAAAACGGACCACTGTGGTCCATCTTACTCTGTGGTTGTTCATTTTACCCAACATATGAAAACATTTTGCTAAAACATTGACACAAGTTTTAGTTAGCTATTTTTTTTTTTCGGGAAGATGTCTTTGTTGCATGTGAGCCATGCATGTACAGGGTGTCTCAAAAGTTCGTTCACACATTTCCCATGCCAATAAAGCATATAAGAACCGGCCAAAAGTATAAGGTTTTGGTGTCTGTGTGTACACTAGACAAATATGCATGCTTTGACAACTGATTAAGAAGGTCGGAAACCAACCCCTTTGCTGTATCTCCAAAAATATTTGCCCTAACCGATTTTTGTTGCTCCATCAGCTGCCGGAGGCTGATAAAAGGTTACCAGCTTTCAAGCTCTTGCAGGGGAATCCCCTGCAGTTTCTGCGTCGGATTTAGTTTTGACTAGCTCCCCGGCAACATCTGATTTTCCCTGAAAGCCGACAGCTTGCATCGACACCATTCTTGAGTATTTTGTAGGCATTCTCTGGCGCTAACTTCTTCATGAATGACTGGCGCCGACATCCCAAGCGCCATTTTCCTTTTCAAAACGACCCCAGTCCTGAACAAACGGGAAGTACCAGGAGTAAATTTTTCGCATCATATGGTAGCAGAATGTGTCGGACGTCTGTTTCTCAGACACATTGTGCAAATTTTGCTAATTCCAAGCGCTCGTCATTCCCCATGCCAAGACCTTCGCTCGGTTGCGGAGTGTTTTCCTCGGGAGATGTTCTGCTTTGTAAACGGCCCAAACCTGTTCATCGTGTGGTTTAATCGGGATTTTGTGTTTAAAAGAAAATTATTCGCTGCAGATCTGCCTCTTGAAACTTCGTTAGATAAAATTTTACAATAACTGACACTTTTGGAGGGTCAGGTGTCCTTGGCATTGACGATTTTTGTGTTATTGTCCCCCAAAATTAGCGTTATAGATATTATAAACAATTTTAAATTATAATTTGTCTTTATTTTACGATGACCTGCACTTTTTGAAAATGGGTAACCTCTGTCTGTGACCTTCTTGCCAGTTTTCAATAGTTATGACCGCATTTTCAGCTGATTTCCGGAACACGAGTCTGCTGTCGTGCGAGGGTCGTTCAAAACGCCGTTAGTCTCGCATGGTTTCGTCCTTCAAAAATTTTAGACACCGTTTTTATGAGATGATCATCATGTTGCACTCATCCTCGCCGACACTTAGCCATGTGTCATTTCCGACTTAACCATTCCCATTACTCCTGAAACAGAGAGTTTCACAACATACCCGACTTTGCAACCTACATTTTCGTGCCTGACCCATGGTCAGAGGTGAACCCTTTTTGTGAGCTCATAAAGGGTCGAATGCACTTGAAAACAATGAGACTGCTTGAGGAAGGTTGTCGCCAATGCCCATGCAAAATTTCGACTGCTAATTTCTTGTTGATTCAGAATTATTGACAAAAAAAGCATGGCTGGTACCTGTGAACGAACTTTTGAGACACCCTGTAGGTGCTCAGCTGAGCTAGCATGCATTCATGCTGAACGACAATCCACACACACACTATACATACATATATGGCCTTCCGCCTTGCCACACGCAGGAGTTTTAAATTGCACTTCCATCACATATGAGTGCCTATAGAATAAAGGCTTACCTATGTTGTGTTGAATAGGTGTTAGCTTTGAAGTTCGGTCTTAAAGGCGCATACTTCCCGCTCCTATGCCCCTACCCAGCAGTCTTCAGTGGCAAGGGCCGCAGGGCTGCGTAGTCGGAGTCAGAGTCGTCAGAGTCGATCGGAGTGGACATTTCTGAGTCGGAGTCAATTTTGGAAACAAGAGCCAGAGACGCGGCATCGGAGTCGAAGTCGGTCAGAGTCAACAGTTCTGCCCGGAGTCGGAGTCCCTTTTTGGAAGCCGGAGTCAAAGTTGGAAACACCGAAATTTCATCGATTTTGACTTCCTCCGCATTCCGCGGCACTGGAGTGGAAATAAAAGTGGAGACACCTGGGATGTTGCGGCAAATAAAGAAGACAGCTTTTCCTAACTAACACTAGATGTCACTAGTGGTGGGCGGCGGCCAAGGCTTTGCGGCGGCCTGTCTGCGTATAAACAAGTCTGGTGCTGGGCTGGCAGTGCCAGGGTATAGGCAGTGCTGCCACCTGGCTGGTGGCCCGAACAGCTGGTCGACAGTTCTCCATCCGACAGTTCTCCGGCTCGCGCGGGTGTGGAGAGTAGCGCGGTTGGGCGGATCTGGCCATGCTCACCATGGCCGTCGTCACGCGGTGTCGACTTGTTCTTCTGGCCTGCTGGCTCGGTGGAGCATTCAGCTTCAACCTCGAGCCACGAATTCCGGTCATCAAGAACGGCGCGACTGAATCTTTCTTCGGATTCTCTGTGGCGTTGCACCAGTCTTTCGAGGAGCGTTTCGACGGCTCAGAAGTCCGAAAGGATTGGTGAGTACAGACCATGGCGCTGTTGACCCAGACCCTGCCCGCCAACTGTCGACGGAAATAGCGCGGTCGAACCGGCCGTGTGACGGCTGCAACTGTACGCTTTCCACAACCACCTGTGGTGCCGCCGTGACATTTTGCCCTTCACTATGCAACGTGACGCGTTCTGGGTCCTTTCGTATCAAATGACGTTGACGGACGGCTGCTCACTTGCTCAGTGCCTATTCCGGGGATAAAGCATCAAGGATTCTCCGGCACCACTTCGAAACGGCAAAGCAAGACTAGCGCGAGTGCAATGTATTGCGTTGCATTGCAACACTGCGCAATAACCCATGTGCTTCATTCAGAGTAATCACATAACCTTTGATTTCCAGTACGTCCATGCATCCAAGATTGGGACTGACCTAGGAATAACTGATAAATCAGAAGACTGCAGGAGCAAACTGCAGACGTTGATATTTCCGTTGCTTTTTTTCTCTATCCGATCACATTTCCTAAATCCTAAAACGTGGCTTCTTTACCTACGATTAACTAGACGAATATAGTTTATAAGCGTTGGGGACATTTGTAAACGTAATAATATTAATAGCATAAGGCGTTGTATTTTACCACAATGGAATGGCCGGCTCCTCCTTAAGAACCTCGGCTCAGCGAAGAGTCGTGACCTGACCGGTCGTGACCTGATCGGTCCGCAACTTACCAGTTTACGATTGATTTGCTACCATCGGTCCATCGTTCGCATGTCGCAAGAGCAATGTTTTACCTTTTCTTCTCCATGGCCATGATAAACGGTGATACGTACTTTAAAAAAAAGTTGAGTCGATCAATTTGACCCAAGCTGTATCACGTCGTGATAATTATTTTGGAAAGTGCCCTACGGATAGCGATTAACATTGCAGACTGCACCTTTATTCGTATACGTATGCCTATACAAATATATGCATAGACCTGCGAGGGCGGGGATGGAGGTATCTCACTATCAGTTAAACTGTCTTCTGTTCGGTCCCTGTGCGAGTTTTCCATGCCCGTGACTCCAATTGTTCTTCGACGTACGACATCGATAGATATGCAAATTAGCCACTCCGATCATATCAGGGTAAAATATTGCAGCCTGGTTATGCATCGGCTGGCACCAGCACTGTCTGTCTGCCAGCCGTTTTGTACCGGGGCTGATTCCAAGGCCGCCCCTACCCACATCACATACACGCGGTCATTACCGCGACGGCGCGACCAGCCCATCCCGCTCTCAGTGGGACCGCGCAGCGCCGGCCACACCAGCTGCAGAGTTTTATCGACGCTTTGTCAGCGGGCCACACTAATTACCCCCCCCCCCCCCTTCACCACCCTTCCCCCTGCACCCGGCGTGACGGCTGTCCGTAACGAACCGACTGCGTGGTATACGGGCTGACGGACCGGTGACGGGATGGTGACGGGCTGGTGACGGGCGTTCAACGGACGGTCACCGAGCGGTCACCGTTAGGTCACCGAACAGGTGGTTGGCCGTCATCGATAGGTCCTCGGTCGGTTATTGCGAGATCATGCGGGAAAGTCGTTGGTAAAGTTTTCGGGCGGGGATTGAACGCAATGGACGGTAGCCGGGTGGTTTCCGGAGTGACATCAGTTGGTGACCGGTCACCGGTCAGTCCGTCGGTCAGTCGTAGACCGGCCATCTGACGGTCATCGGGTATTCACTGTTCAACCATCACGCAGTCACCGCACAGGCCGCGTGGGTGATGTCACTTCTCACAGGTGTGCGCGGCGGCAGTCAAGGCCGGCGCCCGGCGCCCGCTCGGCCGCCCTGCCGCCCGCCTGACCGCCTCCGGCACTCCCAGAGCGAGGCGGAACGAGCCGGAACTGCAGCGGCGCCGCTGGCCGCACCGCGAGGATGTACCGTGGGACCGCCGCCGGCCGGGCCGGGCCGCCGGGCCGGCGCACACCCAATTAGTCCAGAGGTATACCCGCCTCGTGGTGAGGTGTGAGACTGCTCACCGCCGCGCCGGTGGGACTTACACTTAGAGACGACGGTCTACGTACCGGGAAATGGGGAATAGGGATTGCAGTTCATCGTTATGCATGAAATGCATTGATGCATTCAATTCAAACTCCATCCCGTTTGAAATGAAGGTGAGGCATGCTGCCTGCAGCCTGTAACGCGAGAAGCATATTTTCACCGTGTTTGGAGCCGCTGAGTCAGCTGTTGTATTCGCTGCAGTATGCCTCAGCCTCGACTCGGGATTCCCTGCTGGTTTGTCTTCCAACTGGCGAAGTTCTCGCAGGCCGCCAGTCGCGATAGGGCGACTGACCGACCTGGCCGGCCGTTAGGGCGTGTCCCGCGCCCGGCCGATAGCGGTGGGCGCCACCCACCGACCCCCAGTCACTCTCTCCTGGCCAGATGGCCGGAAACGGGGCGCTGCCGTCGCGCTGGGGACCTCTGATGACCCGGACCGGTCACCAGTGGCCAGTTCACGGTGACAGGGGGCCCCCTGTGCGCCCCGGCACCCTGCGCCCCCCCGCCGGGCGCCGCCGCGGCCGGCCGCGACCCCACCTGGCTCGGGCGTCGCGCTTAGCCGCAAGGTCACGTGATTCGATGACGTCAGCGGCGGTGGCGCCGGCGGCGGACAGGTATGCGGCGCGGCCCTGGCCGCCGACCGGTGTGGGCATCAGCTGAGCAGTCGGCCTAGCCCTCTGTCTCCGCGAACGATGAGGTGGTTTTCGCTGGAATGCGGCTGTGCTGGCTGAGCACGAGCCTTGATGAGCTGAGTCTCGCGGATGGGATTCGACTCGCAGTGGGGACTCAGAGGTTTTGAGTCAATCGGTGACTCATAGTCATATGACCTCTCAGGTGCGCCACCTGTGACTGAAGACGCACCTGTAGCCTGTGCCTGATGTCACTTGGTCAATGGTCACGGGTGTAACATCCAAAATGAAAACGGAAGAGAAGAGCGCTCTCTGCTCGCGCTCGGCGCCCGCTGGCTCGCCTGAAAGACTTCAGAGTTTTTACACGAGCAAGCGCTTAGAAATGCGAGCCAGGCCACTGACATACCTTCATGTGGACACTGCACCACCCTCCATTTCATTCCATTCCATTCCATTTCATCCCATTCCATTGGCTCCTCTGCGGGATGCTGCCGACGCCCTTTCTTCCCACCAGTCCACGCGCTGGCTCACTTCTTGTTTGAGCCCCTTTTTGTGAGCCCGTGGCGCCAGCCGAGAGATAGAATCGCGATGAGAGCATTTATCGGCCATCTCAGCGGCACGTCGTCAATTGGGCGCCCCGCCCCCTCCCAGTGCGCGGCACGCCCTTCGTAAAGGCGCGCCTCGCTGTGGCCGGAATCACTTCTCTCGGCAACCAAGAGCCGCTCTGGCTACATTGATGACCTACGCGTGTGTTATGCGTGACCTGTGCGTGATTTGTACGTGACGGCGCGTGACCTAATGGCCCTTCCATGTGTGGATTGTTCACGACTCGGCTCTAAACATCGGACATGATACATCTTCGTGGCCGGAGTCGTGCTTCCTGGAGTTTTATCTCGGTGGAATAACCCACCACCTGTCCACATCCATCCCTCTCATCCCATCCGAGATCCTCCGTCCCCCACAATCTGATACGGACTCTCGGCTCGAGGAGGCAGCGCCCGAGGCGGTCACTCAGGCAGTCAGCTGATTGGTAGTCAGCTGTTTGCGACCTCCTACGGAGCACCCTGAGGTCGACGGCGCGGCGGTGAGTTGGCGCTTTGGAGGCGGCCACGATCTCCCAGGTGTGTGGTGGTTAGGTCCGAACAATGACACGTGATTTCGCTACGTATGGACATTGGTCATGGTTGGTAGGCTAATGGGAAACGTGGTCAGTGGGGCTGCATTGGGATGCAAGGGAGTCCATTTCCTTGGAACTCATTAGTAAGCGGTGCGTATGAGCGGCAGGTAATGGGATACGGGTACGGTGGTACCGCTGAAACCATGTCGATAATTAGTCGAGCGGCGGGGTGTAACGGTCCCTGTTGATGTCCGTTTTAATGTTCACCCACTCTAATCGTAATTTTTGGTTCGGTTCGAAGCTGTCTCTTCCCCAATTATCACAGCTGTGCGCCAGAGCCATCACTTTCTCCTGTGCCGACCGGTGGGCAGCTGTGCAGTTTTTACCTGACCATAACCACATGTTTCGATTTCGAAACTGCCCCCGGTGCGTGCTATCGCGTGCTGTCGTCGCCACTGCATCCGTCACTGTTCCCGGGCATTGTCAGCGGCTGTCCAACGAGCACTTGACACTTGACATGGTCGCTGGCAGGCCAACAGCGATCCCCATCGCCCGCTACACAGACCGGCGGCCTGTCGGTTTGTCTGAGAGCGGAGCCTGGCGGCTTTGTGTCCAGTTGCGCCGTGTGGCTCCGCTCGTTTCGGTAATGCGGATGGTATGTTGATTGGTCTCGCTGGCCGGCCAGACGGACGAATGCCGCAGCTACCGCGGCTGTTCGGGGAGGGGAGGGAGGGAGATTTAATTGTGATCCTCTGCAGTTATATGGGAACGCCTCGACTGATGTTCGCGTCTGGCGCGCTTGAGTTTCATTGCCTTGCAGGCCCGGAAAAAATGTGATTTTCTGTGTGCTTATATTTTGTATTAGTTCGAAGGTAGCTCATATTTGATATTCTATTTCGCCTACCAAACCAGCAGCTGCGTCCATCCTAATATCACAGCCTCCACCCTTCTTATCCGCTCACTGATAACCATCTGGCGGCCGTCACCGTATCGCCCTCCGCCCCTGCACCGGCCCACGCCGGCTCCGCCGCACTGCCTGCCGCCGGAACCCCGTGTGTCGGCCGGCGGCGGGGTGCGGCGGGCGCCTGGAACCGCGCTGTTTTACCGACACCTCTGTTTGTCGGCCTGGAGCCGGCGCCTTTGCATAATCAGCGTCCCGCCGCCCCCGCCGCCGCCCCCGCTCTGGCCGGACGGCCGCCGCCCTCCCGCCGCCCACGCGGACCGGCCGCTGGGTGATCGCGGTCCGAGG